TGTGCTGTCCGGCTGCGCAGGCTTCCATGGAGTCACTTGTCGGGCCCTGCGCCTGCTCCGCTGTCAGCTGCAGCTCACTGGGCACTTGCTTGCGCAAGCTGCACTCAGCCCGGATCTCGTCTGAAACCTTTGGTGCCGATGATTTGACGGCTGGCCCTTCCCTGCAGTCTGCATGCAGCAAGCGCTCTTTTCCCACTGTGTTCACGAGGGAGCTTCTGAAGGAGCGTCTGCCTGCTGCTGTGCCACATTGGGCTGCAGTTGCTTCCCGGAGCCTCCAAACTCCATGGGGATGAAAGGGCGTAACGCCAGGATGTCCAAATCACCAATAGGTATCGGGTAGCCCCGTTGGTGGATTTTGATATACAGCGGATGATTTTCCAAATAATCACGTTCCTCAGCGGTGAGGTTCTCCAAATTCACAGTCGGGGGCGTTGGCTCCTCTTCCTCCACGCGGTTACAAAGCAGGATGGTACACTGCAAGAGAAGACAACATCCGGGGAACCCCACATCTGACAACTCCAACCTCACGTGCCAATGCCACTCCATCGCCACCCCAGCCAAAAACCCAAAGAACTCTCCGATACATCCGGCCTCCTTCTTAGCTGCCTCGGTTTTTTTCCGGTCGCCGACCTGGCCGCAAGCTCTCGTCAGCTGTTGGCAGCGGTTTGTGGAGTTGAGGTTGCATGGGGAGAGTCCCTTACCAGCCTTACCACAACCGGAACCCCGACCAGAAGCCCAGAAAACTCTTGCTCCGGCTTTATTAGAGCATCGTTACAGATTCCACAAGGCTATTCGAGTCCTATCAAGGTTGCACGGGTGTTGCTTCAGTTGTTTTTGTTGAGGCGGGTTGGTGCTTGTAGCTTGGGTTTTCGGGCCGGTGGAAGGCTCTGCCGTTCAGGACTCTGGCTGCATATGGCATGACATGGTTTCCATCACATGGGGGGCAATTGCCTGTTTTCCGGCGTCTGCGGGTCTGGGTGGCCTCAACCTCACCCCCTCACCAGGTCCGGGTGACAGCCGGGCTCCCACCAGGGTGGGAGACTTGAGCCAAGATGCAAGGTTTTAACCTGAGGTCTCGCTCGCTTCTTCTTGTTCTTTCTTCATCTTTCTTCTCGATTGTCACAGGTCCAGGAGGCTTCCCACTCTCTGCGTGTGTGTGTGTGTGTGACCCAGTTTCACCCGATGCTCATTAATGCAGGCACAACAGAAGCCACACGCTATTGCGCATCTTCTCCAAAACTCCGCATGATCCCAACTACGAGTAGCATAACATGTGCAGCCCCGAGCCCACCCTCCGAAGGCGCCGGAGGTGGCTTGGCAGCGGCTTCGGGGGCGGCGGCGGCACCTCGAAGTCCTGCACAGCAGGACGAAAAAAAACCATGAGCCCATCTCAGCCTCTGCCTTTTCTTCTCTCCCACCTCAGGAACCTGGCATTCCTCCGGGGCTAGCTTCCGCAGCCTTCGCAGCTTCTTCGCAGGCTCCGGCAGGGCGCCGATCTTTGTCTTTTTCTGCCTGGCTTTGCCTTGGGCCTTGGCCTTGGTCTTGGGCGCAGCTTTGGGCTTCTCCAGGGCGCCGATCTCCACAAGATGTCGCTTTACGGCCTCCTCGGAGTTGAAAAGCTCCTCTGAAGGACTCCGGAAGGAGGGATCGCTGGCGAGCCCATCGAAAGTCATCTGCCAGCTTTTCGGGAGCCAGCTGGGCCAGTGATCTGGAAACTTCCTCGGGAGATGTCTGCCTTTCTGGTCCACGGGTACCAGCTCGTGATCATACGCGGCCTGGACATGCGACTTGTGATGAACAATCTTGGATCCCAGGTTCTTGGGTGCCACGAAGACTTTACGCCTGAAGCCGTTGGAATCTTTCTTCCAAGCTTGGCCCCAACCCGGCGGGAGCCAAAGCACTCGCCGCAAGCTGCACAGCTCCAGACCTCCAGGCCAATTAGCCTGTCAGGGAGTTTTGGCATTCATGAAGGTTCAGCCATGATTACCTTGACAAAGGCTGCCGAAGTCCCAGTCCTGATCACTCAAAGGCGGCGCCAAGATCTTCTGAACCTCTTCGAAGCTGTAGACAGCACTCTGGGCTGCGATACCTCCGTCCTCCTCTGGCTGTCTCTCAACAGAGTCCTCCGTTCCTGACCATCACCGGATCAACCAACGCTAGCACGACCAACCACAAACCTAGGAGCCTTTCAAAGCGCGGTGCTTTTCTTCACGGCCGACAAGGCACAACGAAAGGAGTGGAGCGAAAGCTAGAGGACAACAGTCGGAGACAAATGGGAATGCAGTAACTCGTCCTAAGCCGCCTTGCAGCAGTCATGTCCGAAGTCCTGAATCCCAAAATAATGTCTTGGCACCGATAAGGTCTTAAAAAGGACTTACAAAAGCGTATGCTAATGTGGCACCAGAAGCCGTCTGTGGTCATGGGTCATGTTCCACCAGCGGCCATGCCGATTGCAGCAAGGCCGTTGCACACATGCGCTGTGCTGCCGGTGTTTACACTGGCCCTACATTGAGGCCCTACATGATCACTACGTGGAGGACGTCTATATTGCAATCTGGGCTGGGTCTCATGCTGCGGCTCGCTCACTTTGCCTTGATCCAAGTCATGGTCCGTGGTGCTTTCGGAAGGGCGATGCAGGCGAGCAACTCCTGCTCGAGCCATACTCGCCAGGAAGGAAAGCACAGTTCAACAAGAAGCCGCAAAGAAATACAAGCTGGTACAATCTGGCCAATCACACGGCAAAAAGAGAATGGACACTGGTTTAACATGGAAGCTCGAGGTGCAGGATGGCCAGCTGACAGTTAACTTGCAAGACAAATGTCAAATGTAATATGCGATGATATGCAGCGAATGTAGTGCTTCAGCCAAGGTGCTATCGCGAACTGGCTTCTTTGCACCAGTAGGCGTGCGTATACTGCAGAGAGCTTCTCAACGTACTCCTTGGCCACGGGTTGCGAGCTCATGTCTCCGACGTGCCCTTGCGCTTCCGCAGCAGCACGAATTGCACGGTGCTCGCTGGCGCCTTGCTTTAGCTGAGTAGACTTCTTCAAGCTGAGGATGTCCCACGCCCTGTGTTAGGTCGGCTCTGTGCCGTCTGGCAAGAGAGTGAGAGAGAGTCAGGGTCAGAGAAGTCAGGAGGGGTACCACACTGAGACATATGGGGGCACAGTCAAGAAGAGGCAAGCGCAGAAAGCAGACAGATGGGAGATGAACAAAGACAGATTGACAAATTTGGTAGGCAAAGTCGCCAGACCGGTCTTTTCCTTCGAAGCGTCCTCGGCAGCGCTGCTCGCAGGCTTCGCCCCCGCAGCCCGGTCGATATCCCGGAGAGTGGAGGCATACTGTCGGCAGCAGCTCTCCTTGACCGGGGACCAGTTTCTCAGATCATACCCGGGGCAGGGATGAGCGGTCACTGCTCTCTCTACTCTACAAGGAGCCTTTTCCTAAGGGTTCGCCAACACAAAAAGCCCAGCCAAGGAGCCAAAGTCTGAAGAACTCGCGTAGCTGGAACCTCTGTCGGACGACGGGGATCGGCTACTTCAGATAACACACTTTCCTATGTTGAGGGAGCAAGAAAGCACGCAAAGAAGATGCCGCCGGCACTCCTACTGAACCGTTTGTTCTCCGAAAATGATTCCCGAGCACAGCATTAGGCAGACTAAGCATCTCAGACTGCGACCTGCGCCTGGACGAAATTTGTGCGGATGATCTGGTTGATGAGCTCCTGCATGTGGGAAGCTTAGGAATTCTTTGGAGCCTTCAAGCGTATCGAAGGAGCACCCGGAATCCTGCGTGGGGAAGTCCATCACCACCTCAATCACGACTTTGCCAGGCCCTACGCTTTGCATGCAGCTCCTGAAAGAAAGCTGGCCTACTCTTGCAGCAACTCTGCCAAGCCGAACCTCCCTGCACAAAGGTCGACACAGTTCACACCGATTCAGCTGCCGGTTTGCTTGCATGTAAATCAAAACTGTAAATCTGGTACCTGCAGAGTACAAGGGGGCCAACATTTGATAGGACAGAAACGCAAACTACGGCATATTGCAACCGACGAAACGCCGTAGAAGCTAACATCGCCCCAGCCGGTCCCTTCTGCTCCATGGCTAAATGCCCATCTTCTTTCCAAGGCCGCCGCAATTCCGAGGGCATTGTATCGTCCTGCTAGGGATTGACTGATTTCACATCTTGCCTGGTCGACCTCCGAGCAGTGGTGTGAGCTAAAGACCGAGCTCAACATAGCCCAACAGACCCGAGTCAAAAAAACGTGGCACCTCATGAGGCTGCCATGCCCAAATCTTGGGGCCAAGTGGCTGCGCGAGACGCTGGCGCAAAAGCGGGTGTTAAGGATGCCTGCGAAATACCGCGGCGTCCGCCGTGGGAAGGACCTCAGCCGGCTTCCTAGAAGAGCATCGAATTGTATCGAATCCTTGCTGGTAGTCCGGCTTGCTGTTTCGCAGGGCTTCTAGACCTATTTTGGACAAAGCCGCTTCCAAGGACTCTTCCAGGCTAGATATTCTTCGACCAGCGAATGATCCAAGGCTTAGGCAAGACAGCAGCTTCGCCGAACGCGTCGAGTTCTCAAAGAGACTTCATGCTGCTCGCACGTTGGGTCATGGGGCTTTTGATGGTGGGATGGGGACAGCAGCTGTGGGTTGAAGCTCATGTGGTGTCAGCGGTCTTCACCCCAGTGCAGTGTCGGGCTCACCACGTCTACCCCAAAGCTCTACATAAGGGCCCTCCAATTCAGGATTTATGGGGAGCCTTGGCAACCTATCAGAAGAACCCGAATATGAAAGGGCCGGCTGCCACCTCTTCAACCGCCAGCTCTCCACATTCATCACGCCAAGAGGCTGTGCACTGAGAAAGTTGGCACAGAGCTGTTCCCCTGCGGGGTCGGCATCTTTGGTTCTGCAAAGCTTTAGCGCTTTCTCGACAAAGCTTCAGGGTTCACTCCTGCTCGAAAGGCTCTTGGGATAAGGAACTCACGAGACCCCAAAGAATCAAAGCCCTTCAAGACGGTAACCTGGTGGTAGTGAGCTGAAGCCTTGTCTGCGCGGCGCGCCGCGGAGGTGCTTGAGCACGGCGACCCACTTCTCTTTCAGTGAGCCTCTGGGATTTCCGCATTGTTACAGTGCGCAGAACATTGGTGTTGCAACCTCCCGCGATTCCTACCTAAGGCTCTACAGTACCGCTATGCAGGCCCCTCCAACGCTGAGCTCATGTCAGGAAAGGAAAGCAGGCACATGTGGATACCAAGTTATGGGAATCACATTGCATTCGAGGCAGATGCTGCGATCTGTAGGCGCAATTACTGCGGAAAAGACGGTGCACTTCACCTAAGAGCTCCTGCAAGTCTGCATCTGTCATGAGAAGTTGCACTGCAAAGACCCGCTCCAAGATCAACATCGCCCGTATTATCGTGATTCCTACCTGCCTCGCCTGACCTCGCCTTTACAAGGGGCCCCCCCCCCAGAAGCCTGGGTTCCAGAAGTCCTGGATCTTCATGGTAGAGTTGCCCCAAGGCAGTGAGATCTCCGGTCCTTGCCAGTCTTGCCTCGGAGGAGGAGATGGCCCGGTTTCCAAATTTTCGGATTGCTTCTGACTAGGAGTGGGCTGCTGAGACTGCAGTTACACAGTCGAACATGCATGTAAGAGGATGTTGCAAACCGTCTTTGTTCGTACAACGCACCACACCATACCTGATTCCACCCATTGGCATGGGTGCAGGACTCAGGCTTCCTTTGAAGAGAAGCACTGCCCTCCTGGCCGGACAAACAAATCAACACTATGTGCTTGAGATCTCCCAAGTCGCAACACTAGCATCTTGCCACGGAGGTCGCAAACCAAACACGATTGCTGACCTGGACAATTCACCAGAACTCTTGCGCGGGGGTGCAGGTCATGTTTCAAGGGTTCCTGCAAGGCGACTACTGAGGCGGCGGTCACCAGTTCAAAGCTACGACGACGTCACTTGCGCATTGAAATTTCCAAGACACGACTGTCAACTTTTCCGTCTTTCCCAAAGCAATTCAGTGGCCGTATTGGTGCTGTAAGAGGCGCTGAAATAAAGAGGCATGTACTTGGCGAACTTCTTCACGAGCTCACGAACCCTGTGGGCTGAATCCCGGCTGCGCTCCTCGTCCTTGATACCTGGGAGTGCCGAGAGTGTCAGAACTCAGAACCTAAGAAACAGTATTTTGACACTCGGACGATGGCTACAAAATGATCTGGCAGCTAGCAGCTAGCAGCAGAACCTGCATTCAGGCATTCGGAGTGGCTGCTCTCAAGGCTCAAGGCCATATCCACGCCTAGCTCGCCTCACTCCTTGCTAAGGGAGTTGGCAGTATGATCACGAACGAGGGGCGCAGCAGTAGCAGCTCGCTGCGATGCTCTTGCAAGAAAGAATGGCAAGTTTGGAGTGCTGCCTGGCAAGGCGCGGACGCCGTGCACAAGCTACTGAGAAGATGACAGTTCATTGACAAACTCTCTTTGACTGAACCGGTCGTCCACCAGCTGCAAGGATTTCCGCCACTGCTCTGCGCTGCTCTACAGCACTCATGCCGCCGCCTCGAGAGTCAAGGCACAGGCGAGTGGTCCGTGATAGAGCCAGCCGTCACCCTTCACCTTGGCTCCACTGGCTCCAAAGCGAAGAATGCCACGCCGTTCGCGTCGTGCTACAGACGTTGACATGCAACGACTGATGCATTTCCGAGGTATGCGACCAAGCAGGGCATACTAAGTGCTGTCATCCGCAAGCCGTAGTGCCTGCACTCCGTCACCACACTTCTCACTCCGTTTATCTAACCAATCTAACCCAGTCATTCAGGTCGCACGCAGGTCGAGGAAGCGCACCCCTGCCGTCGGGGCAGGCTCGTTGCACTTCTGCTGTCAGCCGCTGAAAAACACCTCTTGTTCTACTTTACGCATAAGACAAGCCGGTAGCTCTACTACTCGCCTAGGACCTAGGACTCCGCAACCGAGCCGGCCTCACTTCAGAATCGAACTCCGAACGAAAGAAGTGCTTTACTAAAGAAAGTAGGCCTTGATTGCTTCTCAGGACCTGATCGGAAGGGGATCGGCAAGCAACTGAAATTGTCCTGCTTTGTCGGCCCAACGCCAGACGCATCACAGCGGAAGAATGTGGAACTCAGTAGATAAGATGCTGCAAGACACCCCATGTGAAGGCCTGCTGCAAGTTGCGCAGAGAGATCCCAGTCTTGCGTCTGGCCGAAAGCATGGACGTAGGCCCAATTCACCTTGAGTTCTGTTTCTTGCATGCGTGCTCTGTGCCTCGGAAGAACTACATCGTACCACAGCAATGTCTGACAGCACTCGTAATGCTCTCGTCCCATCTTCTGCCCTGCAGACGGAGCTGCTGGCAAAGGCCACATCTGAAAAGTTGCCGAGTCATGCGTGCCCGGTATTGACACCTGCACAGACACTTCTGCCATTCTAGCACAGGATCAACCTGCCCATACTCGAGCCATCTCATCATGCCATCTCTGACCCGACGATCGAGCGTGGTTAGATATTTTCTTGAATTATATGGCGCAGCTGCACTCCCACCGACCATTCACACATGTTCTTCCCTTTGATGCGGCCTTGCAAAGTGGAAGCTGATCTGGGAGAGCAGCCATCCAGTTACACAAGTCCAGCTTCTCCTGAACCAAACACTTCGACTATCAGCCACTGCAAACAGCGTCGGAAACCACAAGCAGCGGTGGCTTTGCAGCTTCGGGTCCTTCGCCAGACCCGGCTGGCTGTCGAGGAAATCTGTCACAACAGGAGTGCTGGGCTCCGTTGCCTTACATCATGAAAGAAATTCCAGCTGCAACTTCAGGTGTGTAGATGCTTGAAGTGTCCCGGTCCATGTCTCTGATTGTCGGGTCGAGCCGCTGTGCTGGGCGTGGAGAGCTCGGGCCGCTCGCTCAGCTTTGGAGCGCGCGTGAGTCGGACCGTGTGGCCTGGAGACAAGGCTCTTGGAATGCGCCTGTTTGAATAAAGGGGTCTCAGGGTCCCTTCTTTTTCGGGCTGATTACCAAAGTCCCAAGGTGGCAGCGGTGCGGTGGGGCTTCGGCCGCTTGTGAACAGGACACCACGCAGTTTCCATTCGTTGACCGGCGCAGAGTTTCAACGGTTTATGCTGTGAGGGCTCGCGACTCCTCCCAGCTTCGAGCACTCTCCCCGCCTCTCCGTCGTCTCCAACGGCTGGAACGACCACGTGCTTGGCACGTCCTGTTCGGGATTGCCATGCTGCGATGTTACATGGTAATTGCGCCGCCACATGCGAGAGAACGTGCATCCCAAGATATCCCAAGTCCCACGTCAATGCTCAAAGTCGTGCCTGACTGTCCACTGGGCCGCACTGTTGGATTATTAGTGCATCTATTCTCGCTTTTCTCCGACGAGACGAATTCCTGGCCATCATGCTCGTCATGGCACGACAGGCGACTGCTGGCCCGAAGCCTGGGCTGAAGGGCTGCTGTGTTCCATCCGATCCCTCCCCCTTCTTCAGCGCAGATGTCTCGTTCGGGAACGTGAGGCCTTTGTTCAGGATAAGCGTGTCGAAGGGTTTGACGGCAAAAGTCCGAAGCCACAGCATGCCCTCCAGCTAGGAGAAGCGTCTTGCATAGATGATGGGATCAACATGGATCAACCAGCATCTCCAGCTTGGATGTGCTTAAGAACTACACCGTAGAGGTGCCGGTGCCTGTGGAATTTGGATCCTCATCCTCCGAAGGCTAAGGCTGTAGGGAGCTTGCCCAGATTTTTCCCCACTTTGGCGGAGGCACGCTCTGCAGCATCCCCATCCGGGTCGACAAGCACCGCTGCCACAACCTCAATTCGAGCTTCAGTGAAGGAAGGTGCTCGAAGGCGCCCAGGATTACGGGGTGGAAGAGCGCAAAGTCCCCGCTTCACGAGACGAAACCAACCTCATGTGTGAAAGTGCAACTGATGACTAAACTACTTCTCCTGCTTAGCTTTCAACACAATTATGCTTCTACCTTTTCCGCCCATTAGCCCCTAAAACCCTTTTTGGCATCAAACCCTTAAACCCCTGACTCCCCCCGAAGGAAGCAAACTTGCAGCCCGGCTCACGCCCTCGCCCCCAGCGACGCGCTGGAAGGAGTCTAAGGCCGCCTCCTGCCAAAAAGGAAGAGATTCAAAGCTGTAGTGAACCTATACATTTCTGTGTACATATGTATATATATATATGTACACCTGACCTATACAATACATGTGTATGTGTATCCATATATATATATATATGTAAACACATACATATAGAAATACATTTACTTGTATTAATATACTGCTACAGTTTTAGATATACATGTAGATACACATATGGATACATAAAGCTCACCATTATGCCAAACGCCATGGGAGAATACGAATTCTTTGGGCAATGGGCTTTGATGGATCTCGAAGGTGTCGGCCTAGTGGTGCTTTCTGGCTTCTGGTTGCTGTAGACTTTTCAAGAAAAGCCCTTCCAGGCGCAGAGGTAGCTTACTGAAAAGCCCAGGGCCTAGGGAACCCAGAACTTCCCAAATACCTTTCCGGAAGTCCTCGGAGCAGCTCCATGCAGACAGCTGCAAAATTCGCCAGCCTCTTTTTTCTTACTTCCGTATTCTTGGCATGCGGCAAGGAATAAAAGGCACAAGCGCAGCTGTGGAGATTTTTCTTGCTACAGAAGTCCCTTCCCAGCCGACCTGGCCCCCAGTCACCCGGGCCTCCGGAGACAGCACCGGTATCACTTGCTCTCTCGGCCTCCCCGAAAAAAAAAATTGTTCAATGCACGATGGTTCGGGAGCAGGGGTTTTGATACCTATATCGCAAGCCCCTCGAAGCCTGCTCCGTCTCTGGATGCTCTTCACAAGCCATGGGGCCCATGGGGCGTATGCGACAAGCAGGCGGAAATGCTGCGGGATGCTTGCTATGGACTAAGGTTCCATGATGTAGCAATCTGCTGCGATGCCGCGTTTCGAAGTCTTAAGTTGGGTGGAAAAGTGCCGCAGCTGTTGGGCCTGTTCTTACACAAGGTCGACTCTCGTGTCAGCATCAACGCAGGCCCTGGCGATGCGGTGGAACTGGCACTTCTTGAATTTACGCATTTCGTGATTGTGCCTTTGAGCAGCCGATATCTGTCGACCAATTATTGCAGAGACAGACTTGACCTACACGCAATTCGATTCTCATACTGATGGCGAGCTCCGGACGATGATCAAGCACTTGCCCTCGTCCGCGACGAAGTTGCCCAAGTTGATCTCAAACTTGTTCGGACCTGTGATATTCAAAGGTCATGTTGCTGAGGATCCGTTGTCAAGTTGAGTTCCACGGCCACAAGGCCCACGGCGCTGCCAAGCTCGCGACAACTGTTGTGCGTCATCTTGGCATATCGCTGGGCATCTAGGCAGAGGACGCAAACATGCGCCTCAAGTGCTTGGGACAAAGCAAAGACAGGGTGCAAAAGCGACACAGTCAATGAATCAAGGTGGGCCCTATCTCGAGTGTGAGAATTGCTTTCTACCGGGCTGCCCTTGCAAATCAGACAGGGCATACATAATGTGCATGGTGCTCGATGCGCCGCCCAGAGCATAAGAGTGAGAGAGGCTACTTCGGATGCCTCATAAATCTTTCCACGGTCTACATGTTAGGCACAGCTGTCAATCACATTGACCAAAAACCCAAAGGCCGCGGCTCGTCGAATGGCCTTGCGCGTACCCATGCCAGGCTGCACAAACCTCAGGAGTCGCGGGCTTCGGGACTACGTGCAGGTCCCGACGGCACGCAGCAGGTCCGCAGGTGAGCAGAGAACTCTGCAGTGGTACCGGAGTACTGCCAGCCTCGGTAGATCCCACACCTCAGCAGCACAATTGTTCCACGCATCCTTTGGCTTTCCCTTGCTCGAGGTACCGCCATTCACCACACTCGGCGCCCCGGCGTGTCTATCAGCTTCACCGGGTGCTCTTTGAACGTCCTGAGGCCGTTGGGGCCCTCACGCTTCTTTTTGGGGTTGCAGTCCCCCACACCGTTGGCGTCTACATGATGATGAGCCTGCTTTTGCACCTGCTGGGGACCTTCTCTTGGCTTGGCTTGCGCGGGTAAGTCGCCAAGACCCCCAAACCCAGCCCATGTTCTTGGCCTGAGGATCTCAAACAATTGCAGCGCCTTCGATGCTCCAGGCAATGCCAGGTGCACAGACACAGGTAAAGGATATCTCTGCTTTGAACTTAAGTCTCTGCTCACCACCTGCTTGAAGTTGACACTACCGTGTACATGTATTCAGCGACATGCCAAACCGAGCTGGTGCAGTGGGGTCCAGTTAGTGATGATGGAGTCCATGGTCGTGCCATCCGCATCGTCCACCTGGCAGGCTGTTGGAGAACCATCGAAGCCCAAACAGGAAAGGATGAGAATGTGGGACAAAACATGGGCGCACTTTAACACTAAAATGGCATGATGCTGCTTCTCTTGATGTGGGCTTCGGACTCTGTGTTCGGCAACTGAGGACTACACCACACACCGCTCCTCCTGAAGGAGCGCGTTGATGATGCTGGACCTTTCATGTCTACATGTCTCAGATACCTGCAAATAAATGGTGGCATATGCTAGCTGTTGCAGCTTTAACACATGTACACAAACGAACGCGAATGCTGTTTGAAGATATAACTGCTGTTGTTGCAGGTTTGCTGCGGGGTGCTGCAAATGGAGCTGCTAGACCTGGCTATATCTTGCAGCATGCCAACGACCCATCTTTGCTGCGGTGTTTACAGTTTACACCCGAAGTTTCAAATTTAAAAACCCAACTGCATGTGACAAGCCGCTTTCCGCCGTTCGGCTGCCCAATAATCGCCACCTGCATCCAGGTGCGAACGGAAGATCCAACAGTACCTCGCTCTCTCCTGCATGCGTTGTTGCCAGCTGCCTGTCTAGATTTTGCACCTGTTGCTCAAGAGGGCTGATTCACTGTGTAACAGAAGCCTTCATGGCGTTCTCCATCTCTTGAGCACGACGATGCCTCGACTTCCAAATAATAGCGCCCAGAAGTAGGGGATGGGTCTGGCAGCAAGGCAATGGCGCATGAAGGGGCAGAAACAATATGACAGTCTGACTCAAGCAGATCCCTCCCGAGTGCCCATTCAAGGCTAGCGCCGCAAGACGTAGTCCCTTGCCTGCAGGAGATACGTTGGGTTGATCATCTCAGGGCGTTACAAGGACGAGCATACTGCACAACAAGATTTTTTCCATCAGGAACATGGAAGAACGCTGCCTAAGGATGGGGTCCAGCCGTGCCGAAACGCGTCACTGTCAGAAGGCCAACTGCGAGTTGCGAGAACATCCACAAACAAGAACTCTAAGCGCCGGGATTTGGAAGGCAATAGCAGACCACAGAAAGCTTGCACTTGCGATCTTCTGCGGTTGTGAAGGCTCTCTTTTGAATTTTGAGGCTCATTTTGAGGGGGCAGCGAGACCTGGGCTGAGTTTGCAGTCCTGCCTCTTTGGTCGGAAGCGAGCGCTGTTTGGCCTTAGCCGCGCGATTTCACAAACGGACATCGACGGAGTGCACATGCAATTAGTCTTGATAGGAGATGCTGGCAGCTGCCCGAACTCTAGGGACTTGTTGTCTAGCTGTTGGGGAGGCAATGCGAGGTCAGGACCGTGGTTAAGAGCTGCAAAGTGGATGACGGAATCAGACCCCGCTCCCATAAGTCACTGGGGAAGAGACTCCAAGCCAATACTTGCCAATTCGCCTTCCGTCGTCGTGCATAACAGCTGCCTCGGAGATTGGCCGGGGTGCTTTAATAGGGAACACCATGCTCTGCCTGCCAAAGCAACCGGGCGTTTATGCAAACCGCAGGCAGCGAGAAAAGCTGATCGAAGCTGCAAGTACCGGGACGAGACCGCGCCTTGAGCCCCGGGTCCAATGCACCGAGAGGATCAGCAGGATGATGCGCATAGTACCTGACGCAGGGTCCCGTGAACTTAGAGAAGGAAGCTCCCAGGGCTGCAGAGGGGTCAAAAACAGATCTACGTAGAGATTGGCTGGAGGAACCCGCGCTCACCAACACTGCGAGCCTCAAAGACCTCCACTTCTGCTCCGGCATGTCCAAAGTCAACCAAGGCAAGCTGGGTCCTGGTGACAGGCATGGGATGGCGGAGTTCTCAGGGCCCCTCAGGCTCAGGTCTGATCGCTCTTAGAAGACAAGCACAAAGCTTCAGCAGTGCTTGTACCGTGTGCTCCTTACAAGCGCTCACTGCTTTGATACAAGGGGCGGCAGCAGGGAGCCCCACTTTGATCGTCCTCATGCCACTACAAGGGGCAATCCTGTTTTCCATCGGGCTAGGGTGCAGACGGCACTACTTCCAGTTCTCGGGTCGCCTGGTGGAGGGCCACTCTCTGAGTCGCTCTGTCCACTGAGCTCCTGCGCTGCAGCAACATTTGTCAGGTCACAGAGAGAAGATTTCCTGAAGCCCAAAGGCCGATGCACTTCTGCGTGGGTCTTAGGCCAGGCAGCTAGTCTTGACATGCCTGACTGCAGTTGCGTGTATCTCCTCCTCGTCCTCAAGGTCGTCCTCGGCCTTTCCGGGGCGACGATCTCGAGCAAACACTCGCTAGTGGTGCAAACACTATGCTTTCAACAGGGGGCAAGAGCTTTGACGCTTTCAGCCAAGAGAGACGGAAACAGACCCATGAAATATGCGCGGTTGGGTAAAAGTGGGTGCCATCCCGTGCCAAGGCCAGAATTCAGGTCAATTAAACTCACGGCCTGGCCAAAGATAGCAAAGTCACTGCCCACCTCTTCCTCCTCAGCTTCCTCGGCCATCTCCTCGTCCTCCATACCTACGACATCGATGACATGGAGCTCGACCGCAAAACTCTGACCTTGAATTCTCGGAAGGTCTGCCCACGGCCTTGCATGTACATGCCTTCCTCGTCGGTTGGCATGAAAGCAGTGCCCGGATTTTCCTGACCAGTGCTTCACTGGTAACTTCGTGACGAAAGTGCAATGCCCCGCAACCGGCAATAGCAATAGTAGGGTGATACATTTAATTAATTTAATTATTCAATTTAAGCAACCCGAAAAATCTGGTAAGTACACTCTTGACAAACCTAGCTATGCTGTCGCGTGGCATGCAGCACACATGCCACTAGCGGACGCGGTCCTACAAACCTTACCGCAGGCTGAACTCCTGTCCGGAAGGCTCAGAACCTGCATTTCAGAATCCAAAACTGCCACAATTTTCTGAACCGAGGTTTCGGGAACAAGATTGTCTTTCCGGAAATGGGTTCCGGGCCCGGTTTCCCTAAGGAAAAATAAGTGCCGGTGCACCTCTTCCTGCTGCTGAAGGTGGCCAACTTCCAGAAGCAGCCGATCGTAGAGATCGTCCTTGATTGTGCGCAAGGGGCTCAACCGTTAGACCTGACTGCTGGAAATCGAGCACACATCCTGACAACCTCCGACGAACACTCTCGGACTCTCGGAGCAAAGCCGTCAAAGGAGACGGAGTCGGTAGCCCCCTCGGGAGCGCGCCATGCCTTGGTTCTTCTTGGCGGAGATGATGACCTGAAGTCAAGGTGACAGGTGCTGCTTCGCTGGAACCCAGAAGCAGCCGCCTCTGCTTGCACACTCTTTGGAGGCCCGGCCGGATCTCCCACCCCGAGCTCGTAGCAGTCGTTCAAGTAAGGGCCGATAAAAGTGTTCTCTGCCTTGTTGGCGATGAGGATGATCCTAGGCGCATTGGGAACTTCCGGCGGCGAGCCCGCAGGCATCATGGTCCGGGATCCAGCGGGACATCCCTGGGCGTCTCCGTCTTGAAAAGGTCCCGGTAGCGATCTGCCTGCAAATGAAGCGGCTGGGCGGATTTGGCCGACCGCTACACTTCTCCAGGAGAACTGACCCTCAAGCCACCTCTTGCGATTGGACAGGTTTCATAAGTCTGCGGAGATCCGAGCGAGTCTTCTGGAGTGCCCGTGAGTTTGCTCTGATGCCCATCTGCCCAGAAACCTGTAGGTCTGAGCTCGAGACATTCCCTGCTCCATCACGAAGCATCTTGGCAATCGCAAGGTCGCTCGGGGTGATCTGGCAAAACAGCGCAGAAGCCGCGAGCTCTTTCGCACGGGAGCAAGCGGATTTGGGCGGAGATTCAGCAGCTTACGCTTTTTTGGACTTGCGGTCATGATCGACTGCAGCAACTGTTCTTATGAGTGTGGCAATCAATGTCGCATCTGTTTTAGCGGTGCGCCAACAAGTGGCAGTATGTCCTACCGGCTATCTATGCTTGTTCAGGCTGTCCACTTTTTTCAGCTTTCGGCCAGCAGGAATTATTGCTTGTAGACCATACGCCGGTATTCTTGCGGAAGGGGGCTTTCACAGCTTTTCATCAAAGCGATCACTTCAGGGCACACCAATCTCTCGCCTTTATCCACACGATGTGCATCAATGTGACTCACACCAATTAGCTCCAACCAACTGCTGCTGGCGGGGAAGGACGCAGGCGTAAACATGGTTGGAGAACGCCCTCCTGTGCATCGATGAGGAACAGGATCGCCTGCGCCTGGCATGCCCCGAGCTGCTGGGGACCCAAATCCAGGACAGGGACAAGCAAAGCCAAACAGGCTCTGCCTCTGCGATCGCTCTCCACACCTGCTCCTGCATAGACTGCCTCAAGGGTCAAATACTGTATAATATGACCCGGTCACTCGTCCTTCTGCATAATAAGGATACAATGTTACAAGCTGAAGCAGCACATCGAGAATGCAGCGAAAAATCTAGATCACAAACCTGGCAGCCCAGCGGCAGCAGCGTGTTTGCAGACGTCTCCTTCGGGCTCTCAAGTCCGCCCGTGTCAATGACCCGGAGCAGCAGCCTTGCAAAAGCCAATTCTGGTGCCACCGATCTTCGGTCAGCAAAGAATTAGTTGACAAAGATACCCCAAAGCAGGCAGCCAACCGGTCACGTGGAAAGAGCCACGGCGACATCTTGTTTCAAAAGCGCCCAAGACTTGCGTCGCAGATTTGAACGTGAATTTTACTGCAAGAACGATGCTTGATGCTGGTGTGCAATGTGGCAGCAAAGATGCAATGTCTCACAGGCGCTTGGCATCACACCCATATAGCACCGCCAGCGCGTCTTTGCGATCGCGGGTGGTGCCTCCAAACTCTAAAAATGTAATGAAACGAGGCAGCATGTGCTTCAGAGAAACGAGACTGAAACCAATGACAGCTCAGAATAATGTCTGCTTCTTCCGGATCAAGGCAGGCAATTTGTATCTCGATGTGTCCAAGGTCGGCTTCCGCTTAGCATCGTCCATGGCGCCTTTCGGTCGTTGGATTCTGAAGGCAGCAGCCCGACGTGTCTGTTAATTCCGACTCTTGCGACAGACCAAGCTGCAATTACACGCACCTGCGAGCCTGCCTATGATCACAGACTTCTTCGGAATATTTCGGAATCTATCAGCAGAATTCGCCCGCAGCACTCATTACGGCATTCGGAGCTGGTGTTCGTTCTTGGCCGCGGAGTTGCACGCAAAGCAGGGCCTCGCTCACTTGGCTGCTGAGGCTTTCACGCACGGCTTACTGACACGTCCGCCTCAGCTATTTTCATCTGGAGCAACAAAGCCTAGTGAGGACAAAATCCGTAAAACGCTTCAACCCCTCGGCATGTTCAGGGAGGTGGCCTTGAGGCGGAGTCTCTACTATGTCGGCATCACAAAACGAAACGGGCAACACAACAATCAAGGTTTCCCAGCCTGCACGATCGCTGATGATGGCGCGGTGGTCTATGTCCCGCTTCTTCCGCCGTGTACCTTGTACCGACGACTTATCAAGTTTTTTGGGGCGTTCGGTGTCGTTGCTTCGGCATGCAGCACTGTCAGCGCAACACCCCACCTACATGGTAGTAGCAAGCAAAACTGTGGTTGCAGCGAAGGTCACCAGACTGTAGGCGATTGAACAGAGTCGACTTGCCCACGTTCGGCCGCCCGACAATTGCGATGCTTATAGGCTGGATATCCTGTGGCGGCCACAGACAGTGCTGCAAATGATCTGTCGCAGGAAATGCCCGAGCAATAGGCCTCTGGGACGTCTCTCTGAAACTGATGACGACCTCTGCTGGCAAGAATTGTCTATTCTGGCTGAGTCGAAATGCTAAATCTTGGCTATTGCTAAGGCATCAAATTAAGTCAATCCTTGTCTGGTTTACCGTGACAGCACTGCGCCGAGCTTGCCTTGCCAGTACTAATGTTACTCTCTCTCTCGCGTGCTCAGGGGATCCTTTCGACTCACGCACTCGCAAAGCAGGCATGGCGGTAACTGTCCGAGCTTGCTACTGTGACATGGCGGTGTAGAAGACCAATACTGATTACAGTAATGGCTAAGAACAGGGGCGTTAACAACAATCAGTATGTTCAAGCCCAAAAACAGACAATGTGAGCTGTAATCCAGTAGTCCTCACACCGATTGACACACGGCACATGCCTTGCTGGCACCGAGGCTCGCTTCCGGGTTCCGAGCCAGAGCCGTCTATAACATATCTGATGGCGAGTTTTAAAACTCCGGCAATGGCCGAGAGTCCACTGTCCATTGATGGACACGCAGCACATTGCTGCCGCCTTTAACCCTTGGTTCAACAAGCATGGAACACGGCACATGAAGATGCGCGAAGCATCCTGATAGTTCTGAGATTCCAGGTTCGGTTGAAGCAAGAGACCTTTACAATCTCACTTTGCATCCGTACATCGCGAAGCGAACTCGCTTAGGATTCCGTGCATTTCGAGTCGGAGAGCCTCACACTGTTGCCAAAGCTTTAGCCGCGTCCTTGATGCGCAAGTAGGGGATGTGCTCGTTGGGCAGAGGAAGCTTGTAGGAAAAGTCGCAAGAGAAGAACTTGGGGATGTCTGCAGAGA